GGAGGAATCGAGAGGGGATTTTGGTTGTGGTCCTAACTGTAGGAAGGTTTGACCAATCGGGAGATTTGAGACGATCCTAACTGTAGGAAGGTTTGATCGCTCGATTTGTGGACCTCTCGTTCATTGGGGGAATCGAGAGGGGGAGATGACTGTGGTCCTAACTGTAAGAAGGTTTGACCAAGTGGGTACTTTACGTCCAGACTCTAACAGAGAGAGTGTTGAGTGCACAGACACAGTGAGAACTTGAATGGGAGTCCTTATTCATTACATTGCTGTGGTTTTGGGAACTTCCCGTCACATAAATCATCCACCCCCAGTTCCCTCTGCGGAACTGGTTCGGACATTATTATCAGTTAACTAACCGGGTTATCCTTAAGAATATTAGCTTAATATTCTCCAGGAACTTCCCGTCAAAAGTGGGGAAACAGTTTAGACTCATATACCTATTGGAGTATCAGGGAGTAGTTTAACCTCTTATACCGGTCGGAGGATTGAGAAACAGTTTATACTCGTATACTCTTTGGAGTGTCAGGAAGCAGTTTATACTCTTATACCGGTCGGAGTTTTGCCATTCTCAATTGGCTTACCTCAGCGTTATGACGCCGGCTTCAACCAAGGTCTGAATGCTATTCTTGAGTTATTTGGCTTACCTTAGCGTTATGACGCCGGCTTCAACCAAGGTCTGAATGCTATTCTTGAGAGCAAAGCAATCCTTGGTGGGATGAACGACCCTCCTGTAGTATGCACAGTACTTTGGGTCTGTAGTGTTGTCAGCTTCCTCCTGATTTGTGATAGGTGGTAGCTTGATCCTGTTGCTTCCAAGGAGGGATTCGAAGATGGCTGGAACGTCTTCGTCCTTGAAAGAGTACTCTTTTTGGAGTCTCGGACCCGAAGTCTTTTGCTGCCTTCGGGATTGCTGTTGTGACGCTTGATTAGCACCACCAGTAGCTGCAGGTGTTTTGCCCTTACCACGAGAGGCGAAGTTTGAGTTCAGCGGATTATCCGTCGGTTGGTTCCTCTCGGCCTTTTTCCTTCTAAGGAATCGCTCAGCCTGCTCACCTCGAACCTTCTTGTTCACCGTGCACCTTCAAGTCTTTCCAAGTGTCAGACGGTGTTGTTCCCATTGCTTCCAACACGTCCAGTGCAAGGTTGTTGTGGCAAGTCTGGGGAATGAACTCCTCAGTGATCGGGTCCCGACAATTCATCGCCTTGTTCCGAAACCTTTTGACGAAGGTGTCGACTAACTCCCCGTCCTTCTGCTTCTCATCGAGCAATGATCCGATAGATATCTCGGTGTCGTCGTCGAAGAAGTTAGCGAGGAATTTTGTCTCCATGTCGTCCCAGCTATTTACGCTTCCTGGCTTGAGGCGGCGATACCAATCGAAGGCGGCTCCGCGAAGAGTGCCGACGAATGACCGCACCATCAGAGGCTCATTGCCAGAGATTACCCCCAGGTGTGATTTGAAATAAATCACATGCTGAGTGGGCGAACTCTTCCCATCAAACGGCGTGGTTAATTAGGTTGAACTTCGCCGGATATGGGATCGATTCCCACTCTCTCGGGTATGGACAGGGAATGCC